AGAAAAAGATACGCAGTAAACAAGACAGATAAACAAACGAGACTTTTACATTACAATTCAGGGTAAACAATGGCAGTGACAGTTATTGATTGATTTAGTCGTATACAAGCCATAATTCATCATCGTAAAAATGTCAATTTCAAAGAGCCTATGTAATTGTGACCGCATTAATATCTGATAAGTTGACAATTACAGAAATGTTTATGCATAGTTTTAAAGAAAAAATGTCGCTATCAAATCGATGGTACACTAAACTATAAAAATCTAGTTCATTTAGCATTGTCGTTGTCGGGTTTTTTCTTTTTGGAGTGAAATATGTCAGTCAAGACTTAAAGCTAACTATCAATACCAATACAAAAAGTGAATAACAGAAACAAACAAAGCGACAAAACACGCTAATCACAAGAGTCTCTATGAAAGAACGTGTAGACCAATAAAAACCACAACAACGACAACAAAAAAACAATCAACACAGAATGTCTGAACGGAGTCGCCAATGTGATTACATGAATGCAAATGAATCATCAATATTTGATAAACATTTATAAAATATAAGTGGGAAAACAACAAACCAACAACATTGTGTAATGTATTTGAATAATGTTTATGCAATATATTAAGAACAAATAAGTTATTGCACTTTAGAAAAAAAACAGAAAAATAAAGAGTATAAGAGATTTGTGATATGTATGTAAGTCGAATAGGTAGGATATATATATATATAATAACTTTAAAAAATGCAGAAATATCCTGAAAGTTTTCTCAAGTTCCACCAAATATCTTAGTAGCCCAGTTCATCTATATATTCCCTTGTATACTTGACAATTACATACAACATTACATATGCTATTATACTATTAGAAGTCCTCAAGAATTTCTCAGATATGTTTTCGGGAGCTGAGATAAGGCTGAAAACGCTTTATAGAATCAATATTCAATAAGAAACAGAGTTCTACAAAAATGATGGATTACTGACTAGATTATTACTGATTTTGTCATTAATTTCAAAAAGCTTCTAAAAGATGAAGATCATACATAAACCTAAAATATTCATATTTACTGAAGTTAAATTTTAGCTTTAACAGTGAAGCTTCTGTTCGTACTCTCTACCTTGAAAATTCTGTTAGAGGCTCAATTGTAAGAGGTTTCTAGGAACTAGAAAGCAGTTAGAAAACCAGTGTCAAGAGTCGAAGTAAGAAACTTGATGTGAAATCCCATTCACTGCATATGCACATCGTTTCATATAAATACAGGTAATTCAATTCTGAAACATCTTTAACCCTATAGATTAGAACTAGTCACGTCGGCATCATTGTCAAATAATTAGGATATATATTTTACTAGGAATAACTTTCACCACAAACTGATATTCGCTGAAAACTTATTGAAGTTCAAAGAGCACTGAACAGCTATTTTGTTACGGTTTGAAATTCTTCAGCACTACACATTTATAGACATATCATTAGATGATGGTTACATTACACTACCGATTGATCAATATTGGAAATTTAGTGCAAAGGATTACAATCTGTTAGTCTGAAAGCATTAGGAATTTTCTATATTTCCTTGGTTTAAACATGCTATGGAGTCATGAGTGGGCATTGTTGAAAAGCTGTCCAATATTCTATAGTTTTCGATGGTATTCCGACTAACTTTACATCGAGAAAAATATTTTGAATTTATATGTCAATGTGAAGACAAGAAACCAATAAAATTATGCAATGTAGTAAATTAATGGACATTTCAACAAACATACACACTTCCCTATATTAATTGGTCTTTATACCATAAAGAAAAATATTATCAGGAGTTTTGTTTCATACTTCAACTTTATTAGGTATTATTCTTTCTTTCCTGATCTCTACCTCTTCATGTTTTATTTTCGTGAAAATTTCACGGAATGATGAAAATTTTGATATTAAAACACTTGAAACTCTATATACTACAAAGCAGAAGTAGTCTATATTACCACTAATCAATAAAGATATATATATATATCCCAGAGGTGGAATGAAATTCGTGGGACAATGGTATCAGATTTTACACCAATAAATATAATCGGGAATTAATATAAATCATGATTATTTATTCAAATCAAAAACTGTAGAGCATACATCATTCCATGTAAAAATTACGATAATGATCTCCCACTTAATTAGAAGAAATCCTTTAGTTAAGTAAATCTTTAATACATGTGTTGTCTATGTGTAGAACTACACAATATATTTGCCCACTTATTACCATTATCTCTGGTATAATTCTTTTCTAATAATTAACAGGTGATCATCTCTATAAAATTACAGTTCTAAGAAATTATTCTTTAAAGTGTAATAAACCATAGCAACAATAATAGGAAAGTGCAAAGACAAAATTAACCAGAGCAAATCAATGGTCTTGTTGTAGTGCGAACATACACCCATGGAACCAATCTAACACTGATATATATATAGCAAGAACTCACAAATTTGTGTTGGGGATAGGAAAAACCAGAGTTTTGTTAATTGTTTTACAGAGACATACAATAGAAAATAAAAAGGGATGCGAAATAGCAATTTACCATCAATCAATAGATCTTGGTCGAGGAGAAACTTTACGTAGTCTGTCATCTGAGTGTATCGTAGTCAGTGATTACGACAATACCGAAACACGCCCTCCATAATTAATTACGATAGTGTAAATAATAATTTACGCTTCGTTTTGGTTGGTTACCAGGTGCAAGGTCAAAATTGTGAACGAGAATGGAGTTTATCGATAGTCAACATTTTTCTCTAAATGTAAAGAGTTTGCATAAGTAATTTTAACACTTAGCATAGTATAATAATGTTGTTGGCTAATAATAAACAGTATGAATCCCTTCTTCATTCGACTAAAAGCTATTAGATCCAAAAAAGATGCATATGAACGGTCAAATACAGTCAAACTACATTATATGACAGCAGTGTTTAACTGATCTACAAAATGTCAATAAAAAGTGGAACAAAGTAGTACTTCAATTTACTGGATACTACTCTTGGTTTGAAACTGTTCTTTTGAAACAGATATTACGGTGAATTGTTAATAAGTGATTATAAGAGCGGTTCAGTTCACTTAGTTATGTATTTAATTTTGTTATGCAAGTATACCTACAGTAATACACAGAAGAAATAGTTCAGTATGGTGAAAACAATAGCAAAAACGTGAAGTATTCCTTTCCTTTGAGAAAGCCGAAGATATTTTACCTACGTCAACAAGTGGAGATTTACAAACGCATTTAGTTCATTTGTAAGATTTTTATTTAATCACGCTAAATTTCATTCGTTTATTCAGCACTTGTTAAAAAACAAATAAATATCATACTTCATAAACGTAAAATACAGTTCTTGGGATTCAGGTGATGATGTCATCTCTACTCATGACAATCAACATCAAACAAGTCTAAGAACTAATTCAAACTGTAAAACTGTACACTTTTGTAATTTGACTTGGATCGTATTATGCTTAATGTAAGAATCGTCGGCTTAGGAATCCTAGGTTTTATAGAAAACACTATCCCTTTATCATATTATGTAAGTTTATGATATAATCATTTCAATTACTCAAAAAATGTATTGTAATCAACTTTGTTACTTGATAAGAATTCTTTAACATAAAGATTACTTTGAATTATTGAAAATGATAACATGTATGTTCAAGAAACATGCAAAGAAGCTATTATATCTGTTTTTCGTAAAAAAAGGTATATATTCATTATCTGATTTATCACTCTTTTAACGGTAATTTAGATCAAAGGAAGATTACAGTGAAATGAAAGTACCCACTTGAGATAGTGGACATTTGTAGCTCAGGTGGATGATTTTGATGGAGTTTTGTTCTCTGAGATGGATGGTTTGGTTGTGGAGCTTTCATCGTTCTTCTGAATGACATCATCAGCACAAACTTCAGGTAGAAGTGAAGTGTTCGAATTTCTCCACATGTGGTTCACAGCTTGTCCTGTAGACCTCGATGAAAGCTCCACAACTAAACCATCCATCTCAGAAAACAAAACTCCATCAGAAAGGACCTGCTCGTGCACAAATTTACACTCACGAGTATTTTTGAGTGTAATAAATCTTATGATATGATATGATGAAGGATATTGGTGGTTATTTTAATGATATTAATGTGAGTTTTAAAATTGATTATGAAGATGAACAATATTTTAATTTTACCTCATATGATTAAATTAATTCATGGTTTTCAGTCGCTTTATCAGTTTATTAAATCAATGTTACATGTGCTCTCATAGATTACATTATATACCGTTGTAAATTCAATTATTCAAACTAGGATTATGTAATGACACATTTTTATAGGATTATTAAACCATATGATATGTAATGTATATCTATAATTTTATGAATATAACTAATACTAATAACGATATTTATACAATGAATAAAACTAAGACAGTAATATTATGTAATACTAGTAAATGTTGAAAAGTAAATAGATACTCAATTAAGCACGCAATACATTTGTGTATTAATTTCGATACAAGTGAAAAAGAAAATCAACATTGAACAGTGCATTCAGTGAAGCAAGAAGAACTTAGAATAGCTGCATTATTAACAGATGTACAACTACAGAGCATGTACAGATATATCTAGGAGTTAGAAGTTTTTATTTTATTTTTATTTTAAAAGAAAAAAAAACTATATTATATTGCTCAAACTCAGAAAACACCATTCCCCTCATTAGTATGAGTGTTAATAAATGAACAAAGTAAACCGAATAAATAGGATTGAACTGTATATTTTAGCATTGAAAAAAGGCGTGCAAACAAGTGCATGAATGAAGCGAATCAAATAGATTTCAATGTGTTATTGGTGAAAAGAATGACAAGATAGTCAGTTAAATGTAAGTATAAAATGAAGAATCAGGTAAACTAAAAGAAATTTAATAACTAAGGATGAAGAATTTGCATGATTAATCCTATTAAGAAGTATAGGAAAAAAGTTTTAATTACTTGGCAGAGCAATTACCTTCATAAAAATCATCATTCATATAATGGGAAATTTTACAACGTAACGATGATGATGGTGATGGATCGGGCATATTCAAATCACATGGCATACTAACACCAGATGTCATTGCTAAACAACCAAGAGAACTTAATGTACTACAAGTTCGAGGCGGTGGACATGGACGTGACATTCGAGGTGCTGTTTTTCGATTGATATGATATTGACTTATTGCTTGATGATGCTTTAAATGAACAGGTTTTGGCTGAATTGGAGGTGGTGATCTATTGTCAGCAGAAGGAGAAACTGAAGAATTGATTGGGCTACATGAAGTTTGTTGTACAAACAAACTATGGTTAGGAGGTGGATGATCATCATGATCAATCCCATTCCCAAGTATTTTTTCCACATTAGATTCGGAAGGACTAAGACAAGGTGAGTGTTTGTTGCGATTTTCTTCACCGACTAATTTTTTCTGAACATACAACTGTGGTGTAAAGAAATCTTGTTCACAGTTTACACTTACAACGGATTCAGAAATACTTTCATTGTTATGGTGATAACAACTGGCGAAAGAATTCTGTTCATTACATCTTGGTAACTCAGCAGCATTAGTAACACAGAAACAACTGTTAACTGATGAAACATGTTTTCGGGTTGATAAGGATCTTTGATGACTAGGTAATGTGCCAGTTGGTTGATTATGTAAACATTTTAAAAACATTCTATTTAGCGTCATAGTATTACTGTTATTAACTGATCGGTTAATATATATAAAGTGGTTATTTTAATTAAAAACCATTTAATCAGTTAACGAAAAAAGAGGCAAACGCAGTATAAGATGAGCGAAATCAATCCATTCACACCCATAGTGTATGGAGAAAACAAAAGAGCACAAACCCAGAGTAGATCGGAACAGAACGGAGAGGAGAGATAAGAAAACAAGACAAATAAAAATAAACAATAGTTATGTGGTGTAAAGAAAATAATTGTACATAATTTACATGTAGAAATTAGAACTTCTGTTAAAAAATATTGACATAGAATGTTCATTGAAAATTTGACAGAAAGATATTTTGTTGGATTTCTCTATTTATTAAGTTTAACGTAGTCATCATTCTTCTGCAGCTAGAACCTATCACTATTAAGATGATACTTCATTATAAGTCTATATTGCTTAGACATTGAATATGGCAGGGTATCATTAATATACACTAAAAAATATTACAACCAAGTATATTTATCTATAAAAAAGTTATGACACCACTCATCTTAATAATCAGTAACAATAATATGATGTAAAACATTCAAGTTACGAAGTAACTGACAGAATACAATACTCAATGCTGTATTAAAATGAATCGAAAGATTCCATTTGCGAATTAGATTCAATCAATCCGTCAATTCAGAGAGGATAACCATTCAAAATAATCAGAGTTTACCTAGTTGTGTAAATGGACTACAAATATGTAGAATTTCAGCACGTTTTGTGATCAGTTTCTAACAACAACGGCAAAAGCATAAACATAAGTTAAAATATTTTTGTTTTAAAGAAGACTACATTAAAAAGGACAATACAAATCTGTGACTACATCTGTACATCTAAAGGGGGAAAGATCACATTGAACTCATGAACCGATTAATGTTAGATTACCATTAAAAACCTGGAAGTACTAGACGGCCGTTTCGTTCTAGTATGTAACTTCTCAACAGTGTGTATACACAACCCCGGATACGGGACTCGAACTCACAATGTTCGGCCTCGCGCAAGAAGTCTTGAAATCTAGACCTCTGAGTTGGTATTCAATTGTGTTAATGTCTAACTTCAGTCAATCCACGATATTGTGCGACAGTCTTCGATTGTTTTCAATCGGTAACTGCATCACAAATGACACGGATTAGCTCGACTGTGGCGTAAATAAATCTTGTTCACAGTTTTACATATAAAGGTTGTGTAATGTCGACTCAAATGTCTGGAGGTCAAGACTTCCCGCGCGAGACCGAACGTTGTGAGTTCGATTCCCGTGCCCGGGGTTGTGGACGCGCACTGCTGAGAAGTTACATACTAGGACGAAACGGCCGTCTAGTACTTCCAGGTTTTCAATGGTGATCTAACATTAATCGGTTCATGATCTCAATGAAATTCAACAATTTTCACAACCCCTAGCTGACAAAAAAGTTAATTATAACTAATTAATTTTACCTGGCATAACTTGATCAAGTTCATCCATTTCCATACTGAATGGATCTGTTCCACTTCTTTGATATGAATGTAACTCATTATTACCAGCAACAACTGAAGTAAAATTAGCAGTAGAAGTGGCATCAGACATTGAAACAGTATCCAGACAATTTTTTGAACTGTGACATGAATTAGATAAACTTGTACTATTAGCTAATTTGTCAACTTGAGGTTTTATTACTGTTGAAGGATTAGCATACTTTCTTTCTTCATCATGATAACTTTGACTGACAGCTGAATCACTTAAATCAAGTTTATTTAAACTATCTGAAGCAGACCAATTACAATTATTCGTATTACTAATATTAGTAGTATTCGGTGAAGCATTTGTTGTATAATGATATTGTTGTGGATTTGTAGAAATTGAATTACGACTTGATGATTGATGATGAACAAATTGTTGTTGACAATTGGTCATATCAGTTTTAGCATAACGAAGTCTATCTAATGTACTATCTATATTTTCATATGAATGAACAATTGGTAATTGTGACATGGAAAATTTACGTTGTGCTGCATGAGCCAATTGAATGAGATTTGTATAGACTGGAGGTGGTACAGCTTGTTTCGGGTAGAGTACAGTGGACGAATCAACACCACTATCTTTGGAAGAAGCTTTGCCAACTTAATTCATTTTTTTAAAAGAAAACAAAATAAAGAAATAAGAGTAGAAAATACGCACACAAACAACAACACGACAATTATATCTAGCAGTAATTGAAAGAAAAAAGTATAAATACACATTGAAGGATGAGTATAGACTGCAAACACTTAATGAGACAAGCGTAAACAAAGTAGAGTCTGTTTAAATTATTATACTTCACTATGAACATAGTAAGAATAGGAAATTAACAGGATGAGGGAAAAATTGAAATGTTTCTTTGTTCTAGGGTTTAGAGAGAAAGATAAGGAAGGAATCCATCTGTGTGCTACATTGTGTCTGATAATTTTCAGCCATTTCACTTAATAGCTCTCAAAGCAGAGTTGGATTATTTTACGGACTACAAATAGTAAGTTTGAAAACTATAACCTGATTCATATTAACTCTCAGTGACTGAATAGATTAGCACGGTGTGTTGGTCTAGTCACCTTGAGTCTAATACAAACTAATTATTTAAAGATAAGGAAGTGAAAATGTAAAAGAGGATAACGCAAAAGGTGATAGAATATCATACTAGTTCAATTTCAGTCAGTCTTAATCAACAAATAATATGGTGAAATTGGGGAATATTCCAAGCTGTTATACCGGATTAGCATGATAACGCGAAACTAACAAGGTGAATAGTAAAGGAATCAAAGTAATTTGTAGTAGTAATGATAATGAGAAAGACTAAACATTGAAAGTAAATTTCGAAGAGACAAAATGAAAAGTTATGGATGAAGGAATACTAGGACTCAAGATCTACAATGAGATAAACTTGACAGGTCTGACTCAATAATCAAAACCCTACAGCCTTTAAATATTTTCTACTCCCATAGATCGTGTCCCGCAGTCGCAAACCGATACAGAAAGGACTGGTATATAGTATACTAACCCTTTTGTTTGCAGACAGACATCCCTCCTACAATGAAAGTGACGCAAATTGACGAAAGCCGAACGAGCTTTTTGAATCCGTATCGAGATTTCGTCGGATACCAACCCATCAGGGCTTGAAACTTACAAGATATATGTAGTTGTCAACATACTCCATTACTTCACTCCCTATGATTATGAACAATCAACACTAATTGAAGTAACATACAACTTATTCCCATTTTTAAGCCAATAATCCATTCAAATTTAGCCACTGGTTTTATATCATTCCTCATGAAGGCAATGAATACCAGCCAACCAGAAGTTTCTGAATTTTATATTGAAACTATGATTGAAAAATCAGATTCATTGTTTACGAAGAATGATTATGATTGAAGGGTCAGCAAGTGAACAGTTCGCAAAGTGTTCAATTCATTACTCAACTTACCTGGTCTATAAATTTGGTTGTGATGACACTTAAATCTCAAAAGTATAAGTATACGTATGCCCGAACACCGATTACCACGACGCGCAATGCTAACCGGTGTTGGAGATGGTTGGAAAAAAGTTAGGGGCGGCCAAACCAAAACGTGGCATCAGTGCTTGAAGTCACTAACTTCTAGTCTGAGCCATGTTGGGAGATGCAGACTACTTGGTTGGGGTCCGCGTGACTATCGTAACCAATGGTTGGAGACTATTGGTGACATGGCTCAGAATCGATCACAATGGCACCGGTATATACACTCTCTGTCTTCCCTTAAACTAAGAGATTAAAATCGCTTCATATCTTTCTTTCTACGAACTAATTCTTTCTTCCTGTACTATATCCTTATTGCAATCTTTCTTTTATATATTACCACCTCTGAATTAACTACTTTAATGAATCCGGTGTTCATCTTGTTGTGTTAATGAGGTATGGCAACTTGAACCGATGCATATATGTGCCTTGTCTCACGTTGTAGCTGACTGACTGACTGACTGAAGTATAAGGGCAGGATTTAAAAGTCGGGTTAGGGGTTCGAATAGCACTTCCGCTTAATATATATATATATATAATCATCACAAAGTTGTGTAACATTTCGAAAAGCTCGGAATAAGTAGTGTTTGTGTATTGCGTAAAACAACTTACCGGGTGGATTGAAAGACAGAGCAGTTATAGAAGCCCGCGCAGGAGCATGACCTCCGCGTTCATAAGCAGAACTTATTGTATGACGACCACTATTTGGAATTGGAGGATTACCAGTAGTACCAGCAGTAGTAGTAGTGGTAGTAGTAGTATTCGATGGATAGTTTTCCAATAGAAAATGTTCATTAGCAGAATTAGATAAGGAGGGAGATGTAGGATTATTTGATAAATACGCAAGAGCATTGCCAGAATCACTGCCTACTTCAACATACTCACCACCATCACCAACATCATCATCGTTACTATCATCATGATTCTCATCATCGTCATCATCATCATCAGTGCTCATTTCCAGTTTACTTTCATTGTCAGTCCTTTTTATATTTTCGACTTTATTATCATCATCTCTTTTTAGTGCATAGTCTTGACCATTCGTAGTGATATTACTATCATTATTATTACTATCATTTAATTGAGATTGTGCACTGAAAGCAATCATAGATTTAGCTACCATATAAGAATCGATTTTATCATGATGAAAACCATTTTTCAAATAATTTTTTGGAAAATCATTATCTCCATTACTTGCAGCTCGATAGTGACCTGGTCGACATAAAGTTTTAAATTGCGATTCGCCCTAAAATTAAAATAGATAGCACTCATAAAAATTAGTAGTAAAGCAATTAGCACAAGCGAATTTGTAGAGACTAGAATTTTCAAAGTTCAAATGAAAAACTCATCTTAGTTAGACCACAAATGAAAATCTAGAAGTAGCAGACAACCATTTCGTCCTAGCATGGGACTCTTCAACAGTGCATCACTAGTGTGCACTGCCGGATGCGAGACATTTATCCACCTTAGACAATGGATGAGGGCTGTGAAATATCGTGGATTGATTGGAGTTAGACACTAACACTGTTGGGTCCCGGCCGAGTAGTCTAGAGATCAGGTATTCGCGTGTGAGGCCGTGAATCCAAACTGCTAAGTCCCACACTGGGACGAAACGATCGTCCAGTGCTTCCAGGTTTTTGAGAGTGGTCTAGCTGGGATTGGTTCGTGATTTAAACTATCAAAATAATTAATAATGAGTTATTTAACGTTTTAAAGTAGACGATAACACATTGTTCACTGAAAGTGAACCAGTTAATTTCATTTGATTGTAAAAGCACTTTCATGGAGGTATCCATATACAGTACAGTTACGATTAAAAGAGTAAAACAGATGATTTTGAGTAATCTTACTGGTCTTCCAACTAATAAGTTATTCACCTTGATTGTTGATCACAAATAAAAAGTATTTTTCTCAATCTAAACGTCTCTTATAGTGATACACTTCATTATATTGACCGAAATGGACCACTGAAATATCAGTGATTGGAAAAAAATGAATTAGCTATTACTTTCAGTTGGATTGCTATGTAATTAACGAACAGATGTGTGCTTAACTATAGAGCTTAGCGACGATTGCTAAAGGCTAGTTGGGTTTTGATAGTTATTAAATAAACCAAAAACTGATTACAGCATGCAATTACGTCACTGCGATTGCAATTAAATTATCAGTATGGGGGGGTTGTGGAGATTGTTAGGTTTTTGGTTGAGATCATGAATTAATTGATGTTAGACCACCGTTGGAAACCTGGAAGCACTGGACGGCCGTTTCGTCCTAGTATGGGACTCCTCAGCAGTGCGCATCCACGATCCCGCACCCCGCGGGATTCGAACCCAGGATGGATGCGCACTGCTGAGGAGTCCCATACTAGGACGAAACGGCCGTCCAGTGCTTCCAGGTTTCCAACGGTGGTCTGACAGCAATTAAATTAGTTTTTCATGACCATGTAGAAAAATCCTTTCAAATTTTATTGACAGTTAATATGAGTTTTTCCAGCTCTAACCAATATATTCTTCGCTTAGGCTCATTTGATAATTATTAGCAGTATTTTAAATAAATAGCATAATATGAGAAACTAAATAACGATATTAAAATAAAAATCGTCTTATATAAATTAGTAATTAGTTGATGATAATAAGCAAAATAACTGTTTGATCCTAGGTTTGAAATATTTTATACTTCACTAAAATCACAAACCGATCAAATCTAGATAACAATTGAAAACTTGGGAGCAATGGACAGTCATTTCATCATAGTAAGAGAGTCCTAATTAGCGCGCGTCCACTACTCTGCAGGAGGAAATCGAACTCAGAACCTTCGATCTTGTGTGCGAACGTTTAATCTCTAAACCAGTGAGTGCGGATTCTGTACTTAGTCCAGGTGAGTCATGATAGACAGTCAAAACAGATATGGACAGTCACATCGATATTTTAAAAATTCTTTCATTTTCATAATTTACCAACAAAAGGAGGTATAAACTCAAAAATATTTCTGTAGACTAATCAATGCTCGGTTTAGCAAAATCGTCAGTGATTTTAATGAGAATTAGTAACTTCTGAAACAATCAACTACTGTATGATGATTGAAATACAGATAATTTTCTGGGATATATGTTGTCATATTATACATAAATACTTTGATTATAAGACAAAATATATTACGGACAGCGCTGAAGATTCACTACACCACAAGATCATCTGGCCTTAGGTTACTCTTTAAATTAAAGTGAAAGATTGATATATCAATTTAAGATGAAATAGTCTTCAAAAATAATATTTATTGTTATAGACATTACATGTGTGAACGCGTATTTTCTTTCATCTTATATACACAACAAAGAAAAACACAGATAATCGATCGTTTTTATGTGATCAAAAGCTATAAACACTAAATAATGGAGACAGGAATGCGAAAATCCATGGGAGATGAAATAACCATGTAGATTGGATTATAAAGGAACGTATATGCTTATGTATTTCAGTCGTACAAGTGAATGCTAATATTAATGAACATAGATGTGAATAGTTAAGTGGAATGTCAACATATCCAAATCAACACACGGACACAGAGAGGTGAATATAAATGGACAAGGACGCGTGTGTGCGGTGGTGGTGGGGATAATGAATATTCAGGTAGACAAAATAACATCCATTCATGAAGATACTTCGTGTTAGTGAACTGGAAAATGGTTAAAAAATGACGAGAACAATAATAAACATAGATGAGAACATTCTGCTAGATAGAACATACATTTCAGAAAACAAAGTATAAACAAGCTACAAAATAGGTAGCTCGTTAATGTGGTTATTTAAGATGAGTACTTAAGTGGAAATTCACGGGAAAAGCTTTGAAAACACAAAGAGAAAAGTACACAAATAATAAAATAACTACTTTTTCAGATGGAATTTTATTGGTTTTATACAACTTGGAGAACATTATCACCATGAATTGACATTAATTATAAAACCATTGACATTCATGGAACATTGAACAGTTGATTTATTTTAATTTGTGGCTCTTCTGCAATGTGCACTTATGACCTAACGAACAAGACTGAACACAGAAACTTCAGGCCTTAAAGTGAAAATGATAGAATTCGAATTACGATAGAGTATGTGTTCAATGGCTCTTCAGCTCTCAAATAATGTCAGTTTGTAATGAAAACAGCTTCATAAAAAAACTATTCATCATATCAGTTTCATAATTTAAGCTTATAAAACAAGCTATCATCAAAAATTACGTTTTAAAACGTCCCATATTAAACAACGTGAAAACACTGACGAGAAGAATGTGAATAAACTAAGTTAAATATGAAATATGAGACTTTCGTTTTTACTACTCATGTAGAAGTAGGAATGAATGTCAGCTGCCAGGAGGTTTGCACAAACGTTTGGGCTACCACTTTTGTAAACGTCCATTCATCACCAAAATTATGTTCATGTTTTAGATCTGTTTCAATCAATTAATTAAAATTATCGACTACGTGTACATAGGCGGCTTCATAAAATGTACGCATAACGAAAAAAATTTTATTGAAGAATTCGAGATGCATTACCAAAGTACTCTGTATATTTTCCTACTCCTGTTTTTGGAGAGACCAGACGCGATTACCATAGAATCTGTACATCAAATATATTCGGTGATGAGAAATACCATAAGAGCAAGAACGACCGTAAACAATTACGGATGCATCTCAGTGGCAGCTAATCACTGATTAAGGACTTATTGCTAAGGCGATCACAGAATTAGTAAGCTTTTGCTAAAAATGTTAGAATATTACTAGTAATTGTAACCATGATTGGCATTTTCTAATTCAGTTTATCTCACAGCTTTTGGCCTTTACCGATTGACTGTTACTACTTTTAGTTCGTTAATTCATTGTAGTTAAGGGTTGTACTTCCGTTACTATGGTTAGTGAGACGCACTATTTCATTTAGTTTTATTCGAATTTCACGTTTTTTCCTACATCTCTTCGTGTTCTGGCGGCTAATTGTCGAAGTATTGTATGCCAGAACCGTTTACAATAGGATACATCATTCGTTCCTGAATTGATAAGAAGTGTAGGAAATCCCAATATTAATCGTTTTATAAAGATCTAACATTTATACATATTTCTTGAATATTCACAAATGAAACGCTTATTAGATGAGAATCTTGTAGCGATTCCACATACTTTGTTCTGAGGATTCTTTACTTTAATTAAACATATGGTGGTGAATAAACCGAGTATTATTATTATCATATTGATGAAAGTATACTACACTGACGACCTTGAGAGGTTCGTCAGCCAATGAGTAAACGCGACATAGTTACAAAACAACAGACAATAACAACCAATAAAATAACAGTACAATAGCAGCTTGTTATCTCAATATTTTACCCTTACATGCCGAAGCATTCTTTGTAGTAAAGAAAAAAGGTTAGTTTTACGTATTAGGAGTCGGGTAGTATTCTGAGTTTTCATCGTTATATATCATGGGTTATAATTTAGAAAGGTTTGAGTTAGGTATTAAGAGTAATGTTGGAGTTTTGAGTTGTGTTTACAAATGAAGGTTGGGATTTTCAACATGAACTGACATCAGTTATAATTCAATGAATTGTCACCCTTCTGCCTACAAACTTGGGAGACAGGGTTGAAATTTAGAGGAAGGGTTGGAAAGGGAGCATATTATATAGATTTATCAAACACTTGACTATTCAAAAAAAAATAAAGCCATTAATAATAATAATAATAATAATAATAATAATAATAATAATAATAATAATAATAGAGTCATATTAAGCACTTTACCAACGATTTATCTTAGGAGCAGGTATGTTTTGATATGTAAGTTAAGCACCATCTTAAATCCTCATTTCGGTTGCGCAATGGATATTTTCAATGATTCCGAGAATTTTAAGGATTGATTATTGTCAATTTTCATTCAGTTACTATTATTATTATTATTATTATTATTATTATTATTATTATTATTATTATTATTATTATCAATGGCTTTATTCAGTATTATATTTTGGTACAATATAGAATTCTCAGCACAGGGTATTTCAACAAGTTACTTAATGAACAACGAACAAAAAGGCAGTAACAAATACAAAAAGTTTTTTTTAAAAAAAAGAAAAAAAGAAAAAAAACCCAAAAAACTGTACAGACTTTTTAAAATTAAAGACATGTTAAGAATGCAAGTTATTGACTAGGTTAATTCTAACAACCTGTTCTTCACAGAGTATATTTGCTAGGTAAGGTAT